TCGTAATATTGACTAGCCGGCTAGCTTTCTGTTCGTCACTGCAGCACTCAATCAGTGGAAACGGTGTGGGATGTCTGATCTGGTTTGTTACATGTACACATGCTATTTATCTGCTAGTTACTTTAGCTTAGCAGCTAGTGATGGCTTCTCTCTCTCTCTTGCTCTGTGTTTTTGTAAGTTCAGTGTAGAGGACTGTGATGTCTGCTGTGGTCCTTCACAAGATGTCTTCTAGTTTGACCTGTTCCAAAGTTTAAACAGTCTGAAGGAGTTTTCCCTGCCTGCTTGGAGCACAAATTGGATGAAAAATATAATGAAAATAATGATAAAAATAAAAGAAAATGACTAAATAATGTCATTCATCTAAATGGCGAGGATCAGGGTGGGAATTCAAATTCTATTGCATGTCATTTCAAATTTGCTCGAGCCTGACTTTTTGAAAAAGCGGCAGCCCTACAGCTGCTGCAAGCGAGTGTCACCCTGCCAGCCTGAGTGTTCAGCCACCAGATCATTAGTGCCAGGAAACTTTTAGGGCATGTACATGTGTGTATACATGTCTTGCAGTGGTTGTGGGGACCCATTTGTGTTTCGAAACCATCAGTGTGAGGTTATTTTGGCCAGTCGTGACAGCTTCAAAAGGCTTTTTGAGGGACACCTGCAGTGAGTGAGGTCAGTGTCAGGATGAGTCTCTACGACATGAATTAAACTAACAGGAACGTCTTTTGTACAGATTGAAACGTGAGGAGTGAAGTACATGCACCAAGCAGCAGGCACATTCAAAATTTCTCCAGGAATTTTCTAGTTGTTGTCATTATTATTATTATTATTATTATTATAAAAGATAAATGTAGAGGAAGATTTATTTGTAATACACATCATGGGCTGTGGGAGGCAGTATTGTCTGTAATTAAAAGACGAAGAAGAAATCCGTTTCCTCAAGGGTTAAAGTGCACCAGCTAGCTAAGCTGGGCGCATGGCCCTGTGAGCTAGCCACCTCACCTGTGAATTAGCATTAGCATTAGCAAGCTGCTAGCTGGCATTCTACATTGAAGAATAAACAATTTCAACATAAGAACATCGTAGACAGACATCTTAGTGTTTTTCCCTAACGGGTACTTCCCATCAGGGAGGTTCTCTGGGATGAGGTGTAATGTATACTATGTACACTTGTATTCATGCGTGATAACTCTAATAAAAATTGTAAAATGTCATTAAATGCACATTTACAGTGCTCCTTTTTGTATTGTGTATGTTTGCATGATGAGTTTAATTTATTCTTTCTGAATAAAAATAATTTCTAAAATATAACACTGAGTCTAACATCACAACATTAACAATGTTATTATCTATGTTAATATTTATCTCTATGTTAAGTCATATCTGACTGGATATATATAACATTGTATATGGAGAAGTGCTAGTTGCCATTCCCTTTATTCCATTCAACAAAATAAAATTATATACTGTAAATGAGTAAATAAATAAGATGTCATAAAAATAAAAATATTTTTAATGGTGGAGTTTCATCTTGTTATACAATCCTGCGTCAATTGATAAATACATGAACCTTGTAACCTTTCTTTCACTTATTTAGTATATATTGTGCATTATGATATATTCCTTACTATTACCACCTGTAAAAGATGTGTTGGCTGTTCTAGAGAATGTACAGGACAAGTGAAGATAACTGCCAACTGAGTATAGCCTACATGTAGAAAATGTTGTCATTTGAAATGGTTTTTTTTTGCCCAACAGGGGGTGCCCAAGGACCTTCACTGTCAGTGTCAAACACCAGTCTGCATACCCAAAATCACAAACTAGTGTGATAAACTCCACAGTGTAGGGGTATCAGAGGCTTGTGCAGCCACATGAGATACTTTAATTCATATCAACAGCTTTTAACACCTGCATTTGATTTTAAAGATGAGATCATCGGCTTTGGCTGATCCATCAGGCCACCAGATGGTGACAGGTTAGCCTCTGTAATCATCCAGTTGTACAGGTCTGATAAAACAACGCCAAAGTCAACATCAGTCTTTGGCCCAAGGTTCTCTGATACCATGAACATTCATGAATCCACTTGTGTTTCAAGTTGATGTTTAGATTGGACAATTTGTGGCTTGCACAGATGTCCAATCACAGCAAACCATGTTCATGTCTAAACTGTCTCTTATTCACTCCTCTCAAGGTTCCCTTTGAGTTTCCTGTATGGGCATTGACGACCGCTGAGTATACTCCAAACCTCTGTTGGGTCTTTACACTCTCCAGATGAAGATGTTTGAGTCCAGAGCCAACAGAGAGCCTGAATGTGAACCCCAACCTTTCAATCTATCACACAAGAGCTGGATCCTTCCTCTAGCAGTGATTCCATTCCACATTTAGACTCCCAGTTTCAATGCACCCTCGGTTTCTCCTGGCTTTCTACTTTGGGCTTCAGAAGTTATTGTTGAATCAGCGTTGGGATGTACAGATGTGCCTGTTTTAAGTGCCTTAATTCAGGTAGCTTATTCCTATAAGGCCTTGCAAGAAAATATTTGATCTACAGAGCAAATCGCAAAAACACTGAGTTCTGCAGAATAAAACAAACATATAGCTCTGCGTCCCCTTCCTGCTTCCCCTGTTGAACACCTTTAGACTGTCAGGTAGAGATGAATCATCGTTTAATACACAGTGTTGTCAGGAAATGTAATGGTTTAAGATGCAGTTGAAGATGAGATGGGATGGGATTTCATTTTTACCAGGTAATCTGCACATTTAGACCTTATTAAGAGGCACCCAGAGCTATCTGATAATGACTCGTGAAGGCTTTATAACTCTATGTGCAGAAATACTGATGTAATAAGTATCACTGACAACACAAATGTGTTAACAGTCATCTATGATATATCTCCTATATTTTCCTCAGGATACTTTCACTGAACAGCTTGTGTTTTTTTTGTGGCATGCTTTCAGTTTTTGCTGGTAGAAGTTTTGTGCTAAAACAGAAGTGAAACAGTGTGACAGGACATTGCAATTGTGGTGAGAAAAGGGGAAAGGAAATGGCAACTTTGAACCGATTTATTACTCTGTCAGATGTTTTTGTCAAAATTCATGTGGACAAGCTCATTTTTGTTGTACAAAAGTACATCCACCAGGTGGATGTACTTTTGTAATCCTCTAAAATTCACATAAACGTGCATGCGTTGTTCCCTGGTTATCACCCCCAACCAAACACATTAATAAATACAAATATACCACAACCATATGAACCATAACAATAGAAAATACAAACCCACATCTCTCACAATAAGATATACACACTCACATAAATGATAAAGGCTCTCCGACGCTCGTTACAATTCAGTGTATCTTGTTATCAGGTTTCTTCTCTTTCCACGAGTTTTAAAGTGAGCATTTCAGGAGATTTCATCAGCTCTCCAGAGAAAATGTGTTTACTGTGTACCTTGATAACTGGGCAAAGTCATACAGTAGTATTCATGTCAAAATCCTATAAAAGGGTTACAGCTACACTGGGTTGTTCTCCTGGATAAAGCAGCAGAACAGTAGCTTTACTATCTCATTTTGTGAATCCATCTTGGAAAATTTCCAACAAAGCAGATGGAGCTTTTATTTTATTTTATTTTTTTGTGCACAATAAGTGGCTATATTAAACATCCTGAAATAAATATAAAATAATTATCAATCAGCTGTTTATTATTAAATCACAAATGTAACTGGGAGCAAATGTGAGCCATTGTATTGCCAACTTTGTGCAGATATCTGTATACTTGGTACGAGCCTCTCTTATTGAAAAATGTGTCGCACCAATAAATACGGAAACAGTGGGTTGTGCTTGAACATCTCAGACACCTGACTCCAGTTTGTTGTCTTTGTTGACTCCACCTAAAGCACCTTCACGCAACACCAGTTCAAAGGCAAACTTTTCCTATTTGATGTTGACCCTCACTTGTTTAAAGGAGGAGTTGGTACACAAGGTTTTTTTTTTTTCCACTAGACCAATCCATTAGTATATTAAACAAACATCATCATGTTGTCGCAGCATAGTTTACATTGCCGTCAGGGTTAAATAAAATATACCCCTACCCACAACCAAACGTTAAATCTCCTGTTAACTTGCCAATCACATGGCAACATAATAAGATATAATGTCGGTCTGAAACCACTTGATCAGTCCTCATTATCTGTCACACAGGTTCCCATGGGCCAGTATGAGAGTGTTATCAATTTTAAAAGTGCAATACTAACATATTGTGTATACTGTATGCAAAACTACATGCATATAGATTTAACATCCCAATTTATTAGTTGACCTGACATTGTTCCAGTCTTTAAGAAAAGCTTTATTTTCATATTTTCTACCAGTGTCATTATTGTGATTCTGGATCTTTACAAAGTGTAGTCCACTTTTCTGTATTCCCACCTATAGATACAAGCCAACAAAGAAACTTCTAAATGATTTGAGGTTTCTTTTTTATACATCACACACACTTAAGGGAGCATTATATTTTGCTTCTGTGCATTTTACAATGTGCAAATTAGACTCATTACTGCTACTGCCTGAGTAGACAGGTGCCAAGTTTTAGAGTCAGCCAATGATTAGGGTAACAGCACATATTAAAACAGGATTAATGACGGATTGATCCTAATCTTCCAAATCATGTCAAGTAGAGCTCTTCGACATGTCTGGAGCATAGTCAAGGCTGCTGGACAGTGTCAGATTATAGCCAAGGATTGGATTATCACTGCTAATCCAATTATTCATGTAATCGGCTGTCAAACTGGTCTTTTTTATAAGGATATCACTTTGGAGAGAGTGAATCCACACAGGCTTATTACAGCGGACATAATTTGTATGTTTGGCCTGGCAAAACTTACATAAAGTATCCTGCAAGAGCTCAGATTGTGGATAAAAATGACTAAACCTAGTGCTTTAGTTTAATGCAGGTAAAACTAATTTTATTTAATCTTATACAGGCTGCAAAATAACCGGAATTGTTAGTCTGTCGTTTGTGACATCAGACTATAGTAGTCCAGCAACCGGAAGTAGAAAAAAATACAACCGATGACGATTTGACTCCACCTCATGATGCCATTTAGCAACAGATGAGCAGCGTTTCATGTTCATATCGGGTGGCAGGAGACGAGCATTGCAATCGCTGAGGTTCCCCAAAGGAACACTTTTTGATTGTGTAATGTTTGTCAGGGTCTCGGTGCTTCCCTTCTCGCTCGCACCGTAGCTAACCGGCGTGTTAGCGGTTTTCTCATCCGCCCAAAAACCCGCGTGTGTTACCGCTGGCACTGGTGAGCCTCTGTGGTGGATCGCTATGGATGTGATGTGGATGATACCGCTGCTGCTGATTCCACTCCTGATGTGGACCAGCAGCACGTTTGTTTTTTATTTCAAAAAGTGCTTTTACGTCGCCTGGATGATGTTCCTGGCCCTGGTTGCGATCCCTCTGTGTATACTGAAAAGCGGAGGCAGAGACATTGAAAACATGAGGTGAGTTTGTTTGCATAATAAAAGTCGCTCGGCAGGCAGCGAACGTCTAACGCCTAGCCAACGCTAGCTTGTTAGCTGGCTAGCAGCAGCCGTGGTTCATATTAAACATTCAGATATGGCTTGCTAACAACATAATCTTTCTTAATGTAGATCTTCTTTATGTTAGAATAACATCACTGTAACCTCGGGGGGCTTCTAGTCTACACGTTTGTTTGAAAGGAAAACATAACAAAATATAGTTAAATACTTGATGCATTTTTAATCACAGATATGCTAACATTAGCCCCCTTGGACTGTGGTAGTATGGGCGCGTTAGCTGAAAACAAGAATGCTAACATTAACATGTTTATGTCCATTGCTTACTCAAACCAAGTCAGGACGTGTTCTGACTATTCCCAACCTGGGTGAAACAATACTACCCTTAGATAACGGTAATTACCTTAATTATATTTCCTACAAGAATGCGTGCTACCTTCCCTCCAGTCAAATGCCTGACGTTAGCTAAGTTCCGTGAGGTGATCACATAACGATCGTAAGTCACAAGTCTGCCCACCGAATATCACAACAACACATCATTGTTTCAGCTGCTTTTTTAATAATGAAACAGTAGAAATTACGCTAGCTAAATCAGTTTTAATCAAGCAGCTGATAGGTATAGTACTATGCACTGAGCTGTCAGTGTGTCCCTAGAAGCTGCACCTCTAAACATACAAGCCAGGACAACATCTCTGCAGTAAATCCTATCTTTATGAAGCTTGTAATGTTCAGTTTTTGTTCAAAGTGTATGAATGAGTTCTTGAGGCCATTCTTTACCCATTGATTGATGCAGGTATAGCTCTATAGGAATGACCACTTGGCCTTACCACTGGAGGAATTTCGTTACTTCATACTTGACACACACACATTGACCAGGTCAACTGATACCTGTTAGAAATGTAGTACGCCGTTGAGGTCAGTGTCGACTTGGGGGGTTGCTGCTGCTGTTGTGGTTAAACCAAGATGGTGAGGATGGATTGCTGGACACAAATGATTGCATTCCCGTAATTACCTTGAAGAGACAGATGCCAGATGGCAAGTTCCCCCTGATTAGAGTTGGGTTACCGTATACTTATGAGGCCATTCCTCGATGCAACCTCACTTGGCCTTGATCTGCTGACAGCAGCCCTGTCAGTTACAACAGCGGACCTTACTGCCTCGCTGCACTTGGAATAACTGTTTTGCAGTCACGTTAGCCGTGGTGTCATGTTGCACCAGTGTACCATTCTGACAGCTCAAAGGTTATCAGGACCTGTTGACTGTGACAAAGTGACTGAATTGGGGTCAGACCTTGCACAGGGAGTGAATAGAGTTTTGGCTGCACGTTCTACATACTAGCCAACTGTGGCGAAAAAAGAGCTTTGTGATTCATCAAGGACAGAGCAGTCTGTCACAGACATTAGCTGTCAGACTGGTACACAAAGGGCTGAATTCTGGGGGGTGACTACTTGCTTCACAGCTGACTTGAATGTGACCCAGTAACAAGCTTCAACATGTACAGTCATCCAAATGCATCCACAGAACTCAAGTTACTGTTAATGTTGTGCTTGTATTTCCTGAAACACTCTTGTTGGTTTTCAATTTATTGTAAATGTAGTCACTCAGTATCTGTCACTTAATGTGAGCAGTTACTTTTGGCTATGGGCTCCAGTTATCAGGTAGGATGTCATGACAACAGATAAAGGACAGAGGCTTAGTTTTCTCACTCACAATTGTGAGAGCTCAGGTTCCATACTGTGTAATAGCGTCTAGCATCAGTGGGAGACTACCATTGTTACTGTCTGTTTTACTAAGCAGTAATGTTGTCACTGAGGCCGTTGACTGACATTAAAGCCCACATTGTTAAAACTATCCCTTTTCTTGTCCCTGGCTTTATGAATGAGTCTATCCTCTGCAGTGTCATTCTGATCCTGTCACCATGCCCCTGTCTTGAACAGGCCTCTGACCTTCAGCACCTGAATTAGCTTCAGCACCGGTATCTTTGTTTGTTGGTACAATATTTTTACAGCTAACAGGTCGGACTCACCTTTAATCCATGAGCAGCCAGGATGGTTGAACCCTATGCTGGTATCACATCAACCTAAATCCCAATATGCTCTGTAGGTTCAAAAGGAACTTATTTAGAGACTGATAATGAATTGAATTAGTCGGAAAAGCTTAGTGGATTAGCCATAAAAAGAATCCAACCGAGGCCGTTTCATTCCCCTTGAACAATCTTAATATTGCTGCAACACTGTCTGAGTCATTGCATAACCAGTGACTTTTACACTAGACTGAGTGTTTTATCACTGTACTTCTGTGTTGTAAGATATCCCCAAGACCATATTGTGGTTTAAAGGTTAAGTTGTTTTACTATAGTGAGACAATCAAACGTACATGTGCAAGCTTAGCTTAAAAGTGAGACAGTAGAGTTACATGTTAATGAATTTAAGGGAATTAAGAACTTCATCATGTGTTTGATTATGAAAACATAGTGAGCGTTACTTTTTCATGCAGTAATCAAATACGTCTGGTTGCCATCTATACTAGCTCAACATGAGTTGCACCATCTTGCAAAAGGTAAGCAAAGGAAAGCTTGGCATGAGTTAGCGAGGTAATCATCACATATGAATGTATATCATATGACAAGTAATTATTTTTATTTATGCTCAGTCGCTAAAAGTATTTTGTTCTTAGCAGTCTGTGTCTCTTTTTGATGTTTTGCTTATCATTCTTATCAGTTATGATAACATCTTACTTCCCAGCTTACTTGTTAAGATATGGATTTGTTGGTACTCCAGTCAGTGCAGCTTTACAGTGGACTCCATTGACAAATGTATACACAAATAGTCAGACCACTTTTAGGAAAAATTCATCTTAACTACGTCATCAAAACTTCTTATTTTATTTATATTATCTCTGTTAGCCGTTAACTCTGAGTAGTTGTAGATCAGTGAAAACAGAGTTAGAGTTATGCTTGTTAAGGTTTTATAATATTCCAGCAAATGTACAGTTGTTATATGCACATCATCGCCATTCAGCTGACCCAAGACTAAAATATTACAAGCAAAAAGAAAAAAACCCTGAGAGATTTGTTCATTTGTGACAAACCAGACTCCTGAGAAAAACACAGGCAGATAAGACTGCAAATCCCTGCTCCCCTCATTTACAGCTAACAGCAGTTCAGCTGTCTTTCCAAGAGTGTTTATGTCCAGTAAATGTGCTCTTTGGTCCTTTCATCCTCAGTGAATGGGTAAAAGATTATCAGCTCTGGCATCAGGGTGAAATCAAGTACATTGAAATGTACTAAGTGGCTTTGCTGGTGTCAGTCCAGTAGCGCAAAATCACATAGAATTACCACTGACAGGATCATTTAGTTTAGTTTATTTTAGAACAAGATATTAGAAAGGACAATTGGAAATGTGTTATTATTGTAAAAGGGTTGCGGCCTGATTGTGTACTAAAGTTGGAAATTTACATGTTTTTCACATAGTGTCTTCCTAGATAACATAAAAGCAAATCCGAAACCGTAGTTACAACTTTCCTATTAAAGAAGTGTCAGGAAAAAAACTACCCTAAATTACAAGGAGATTGGTAGACGGCATTTTTAAAAGGAGGGCAGATTAGGACAACAACATGAGGAACAAGTTTTGGGGGGTAGAGGGGTATGATTCATGAGGTATTTTTTGAAGTGATGATTTCTCCGGCTGAGACAGAAGATGGGGAGTGACTCTGCTGTTTTCCCTGAGAGGGAAGGTCATTCCAGTTGGTGGTGTAACAGAAGCCAGTTTTTTGTGTGTTGCACAGGAAAAAACAGCTGGTTTGTCATTCAAAATTTGTGATTCAGTGCTGCATGGGGAAAATTCTTGCGTGTTATGGATGTATGATTGTGAAACTGTGCTGTAACCATTGCACTTTTCATAACACGTTTTAATGTTAGTGGATTTCATTTTTTCCCTTTTATTTATCATTTGATCTCTTACAGTGTTTATATGAATCCTTAATTAATATTTTAGTCATATTTGAATTTTCATTTTCACTCACACAGATGACTTGCATATATGGCCTGTACTTTTCGAGCATCCCTACACTTGCAGGATGTGACAGGTGTGGAATCTGTAATCAGCTGCTGCCTGAGGAAATCTGGATATTAATTAGAAGCAGATTGCAAACATAAATTGAATGAAAGGCTTTGAACAAATTTGCACCGCACTCTTCATTTATGCAATTCTTACCAGTGTTTCTTCCCCCTTTCTCAAAGTTAAAATGTTCCTTTTATTTTATAGATAAATCTACAGATATATTAACATTCAGTGAAAGGACTATGTGGGATCACAGTTTCGAATAGATTTTGTTGCTACCTCCTGGCTTCAGGAGGGAAAAGAGTGAAACCACAATTGAATGATGATCAGATACTGGTGAGGAATACAGGGCTGATTAGCTGATTGTAGTGTGGAGTTGGTCTGGACATAAAATGCCAAGGCCCTCTTTGCAGTCTTCCACACCAACACCAGAGTGTAGATAAATCTGAGATTGACAGCCATTGACTGTGTGAGGTGAGACGGTGTACTGGTTCAGGACAAGGCAGACTTTTTTTAAAGTGTTATAGGGCCAAGGAGAAAATATTATGGAGGTAGGTGCGGGTGTTTACATGGGAAGGGATTAAATCTTTAACCTTGAAGGGTGTCACAGTGATTGGTGAGAAAGGATTTTAATAGCATGTATCCTGCATAATCAGTTTATGACATGGGTCTCACCCTGGAGCTGGTTGTTAAGAATGACAATTAGAGCTTTCCAAGTCAGGGGAGAGGTCACCTCTGATGTGACTTAACGGAGTTCAGAGATATTTTCGGCTTTGTCTCTACAAAGGTCAAGTTCTTGTATAAACAGGAAACGGCGCAACTGATATTGTGAAGATTTTGTTTTGTTTTTTTTAAATCAAGTTGAGACATTTTTAACCTGAACCTCATTACTACTCTTGAACCTTGACTGACTAACTATATTAACAATGACTGAAATGTTAAAGGGTCACCAATTGTGCCGGTTAACACCCACATGTGCAACTCTACAGAGCTTTTTCGCCTCTTTTAGCTCGTCGTTCTGGCTTCTGTTCTGCACATGTACTGCAAGGTTGAGAATGAGCTGTTTCTGTTATCCACGTTTCCAGCAACAGCAGTAGTCGGCAAACAAGCTTTGATTAAACCCTTGTATACACTTCACTGCTTGACTCCAGGAAGTCATCAAATAGCTGGCAAAGAGTTTAACATTAAGCAGCTAAACACCCAGATATTTTTCTGAAGAACTGATGAAGACAAAACGACTAAAAGGAGAGGGAGTATTGAATTTATGTTTTCCCGGTGGCTAGAAATATGACTCTACATGATTGGTGATGTTGTTACCTGTTTGCTAGAGACTGAGTGAAACCACTGTTTCCCATGACAACATTATCAGCTGGTGTTGTGGTGGTGGTTGTAGGTTTGTCAGCCTGTTGGAAAGTTTTTATTCCCCCTAGTGGCAAAAATCAATCAAAGCAGCTTCTATCAAATATTGACTTTTATATTTAGCAGTTAGTTGGAAAGTGCTCTCGCTAAAACTGGATAATGAACATTTTACTACCCGTGTCACTCCACTTATTACATTGTAATTGCAGATAAATTAAAGCATTGATTTCATCGGACTAATCACAGCCCATATTGGCTGTTTGTCTTCAACATTGGTATCAAATATGTCTCATAACGTTGGTGTATTTATTTCTCATGAGCGTCAGACAGGCAGATGGTAGGAGATTCTTTCTCAAAGCTAATTGGAGCGTTGTACTTACTACAGGCGATAATTTAACCAAACAAGAAACAAACAAATCTAATGTTTGCAATGTGGGACATGGATTTTCTACCAGATGTCTTGCACTTCTAAGACAGTCATGACTATATTGCCTGATTGAGGTCAAATTAAAAATATCCGAGCTGGTGTTCGCACAATGTAAGGTAATACCTCAGTATTTAACAAGCTTTATACATTCCTCTGTGACCGTTAACCTCTCCAACAAGGCTTTTGGTTAATAATATGTAGCCTACTGCACTCACATGACTGTGAACAGTAACCTATGCTCAGGACTGTAATTAACCTTTTTCCCCGCCAGGATTATCCGCTTCCTGGTTCGTCATGTGAAGTATTTCCTGGGTCTACGGTTCGAAGTGAGCGGTTGGGAGCATCTGCAGACAGAGGGACCCTATGTCATCATCTCTAACCACCAGAGTTCCCTGGATGTTTTGGGTGGGTACTGCTGTACTATATGGATTTTTTTTTGTTATCCTGTGTTGGGGCTGTGCTCCAGCACACTGGATCTAAAATGAAACGATAACTAAAGCGTTGATTTATGGCTTTAATATTAGATATTAACACCCACTTTGGGCTATGTAGGAATCACTGCCTTGTTATTGTCCTGCTACATTGTTCAAACACTGGAGGGACTATGTATACAGGAGCTATGACTCTCACATTGATCATACAGTATGTGAAGCTGAAAGTCAACACTTTAAAATTAGATCTATAACTGGCGCCACTGGCACTTGTCATATCTGTTTTAAAAGTGAGCCTGGAACAATGGTGAGAGGTTAGGAAATGCAGCCTGTCTCATCTATTTTTTTCCAAAACTGACTGAAAGATTTTGTTGGACGATGAGGAGTGATGCAAGATGGTTGTGCAGATGGCAGCTTTTCCTCAGCAGATTTCTTTTCTATTTTTGTTAGTTTGTGTTTGTTTCTTGTCTTCAGCGACTCAAATACGATCAGATTTGCCAGAGAAGAAGTGTTGTGCTCTCAACAGCTCACCCTGAACTGAGCTGTTTGATAGAGGTGATGCACTCAGGGAGTTTTCTGGATGTTTTAGTTGAAGTAGCCGCAGTCATCTGCGGTAGATGCAAGAGTCACAGATGGAAGAGGTGTACCATTGCACCGACTGTGGGGATTTCTGAATTTGCTCTTGAGTATACATGAGGCGAGTCTCCACTCCCTGGCCAATAACATGGAAAAGCTGCTGCTGCTCAATAGAACTAACAAGGATTATTCACACTCTGCCGCTCTGTGCTTCATGGAAACATGGCTAGATGAATGTTTCCAGGACAGTTTACATATCAGAGCTAACAAGGAACACATGGAGGGAGAATGTTCTTTTTATCAGAATGAATGTTGATGTCACAGTGTGGAGGGATTTTGTCATTTTTAAGCTGACCTTTTATTGTGGTCAGTGCTGACGTCCTGCCTCCAGCCTGTGTGAGCAAGATGCTGCACACCTGACTGAGCAGGTAATCCGTACAGAGAATGTCTGCACTCCCCTGTTAGCCCATTGACCGTGGTCACCGCTGCTTTCAGTGCTCTGACTGCTGACCTGGATGAGCTCACTGACATCATGACAGGAAACCATCCCCTCCCATCACACTGTAAACGACTGACGACAGATGACCTGAATTTACTGTAGGGTTGACCCCCAACTACTGGTCCATAGTAATTAGCAGCCGAATGAGTAATTTCATATGGATTTGATTGGCTTGGCCACCAAACAAATGGACAGTCAGGACTGTTAAAGACATCACTGGCCACCCTGCCCGCCCTCCAGGACTTCACACCTCTCCTGATCCGGTGAGGGAAGGTCAGCACAGAACCCTCACAACTTATTTGAACCAAATGTTAGAGCCTGTCAGATTAATCACATCCACACTTTAAACTTAATCTAGGAAGAAACAGCTCTCCTGGCTTTGGTTGCTGAATGCGATTGTAGTGAAGGTTAAGCAATAGTCCTGCGAAAACTGGGACAAATGTAAAATGAAACCAGCTTTGTGCTGGCAGAATGGAGCACGATGTGCAGCAGAGCACCATGCAACCACAGAACTCATTTTAACATTGTATTCAGCGGTTTGGATTTGGCACAGAAGATCGTGGAAAGCGTTGATCAATACATACACCAATAAAAAAAAAATTCATACATCACTGGCCTCACAGGACCCAGTCGGAGATAAAAGCTGTCTATAAATTTACTGGATACCATTTAAACTTGGTGTAGAGTGAATAATAGCACGTCGTAGCAAGATTCTTGTTTGTCTTTGATTTTGCATGTGTGGGCAAGTCTTTTATCGGCGCGTCATTCCTCTCCGTCCTAAAACTCATTGTTGAGGGCACTAATTTAGCGGTAGGTATGTTTTCTCTCCATCAGAGCCTGGGAGACGGTGTTGTTCAGTGCCACTGAGCAATGAGGCCAGGCTCCAGGCCAGGGTAGTGACAGCAGGGGGAGAACTAGGCATCTAATTAGTGCTGAGGAAACTCAGCATGAGTCTGATTTGGCGTCCAAGTTGCCATGCCAACAGCTACACCCAGCCATTAATAGCTGCTCATCCTCAAGATGATGTGCTAAAATTCTCACCTCCACAGCTAGGCCTCGGTTTTAAGCACTCTTTCTGACATGAATTATAACGCTGGATCCGTCCGTACAGACACATCTGCTTGTGTTTGCTTTCTTTTATTGTCTCTAATATTTTGTTTGTTTTACACCGCTATTTCTTTTGCACCAGCAGCCTTTGCACGAAGGTCGATCAAACATATTTTATAATGTAAGCGTTAGTCATGGAGATAATTTTCATCAATAAACTCTATACTTGAGAAATCCAGGGTTTCACAAGACCATAGATAAGTACGACCGACAGACCAAAGTTCATCCCACATCGAGTTGTTGGATGTTACATTTAGCCAATTGGCAACGGCACGTTTTTCTCTTTCAAAGGTCTTTTTATTGATTGTCCGTAATGAATAAAACAGTAACTGTACAGGGAAAGTTGTTTTTTTTTGTTTTTTTTTTAGCTTTTCTGAAGAATACTCACCTGTATCACAACACATTCATCTGCCCAAATAAAAACACACACAAACAGCTGACCACAAGAGATATATTCTAGATTATAGGTAAATAAAATGAAAATTATAGACAACCAAACAGAGAAAATATCTATAATGTACCTTAATTGCACCAGAAAAAATAAGTGAAGTAATAGGGATAGAAAATAAGAAAATAACATAGGAAAAAAGGAACTATGTAGAGATTATTTCTAGTAGGTTTTTCAGGAAATGTCAAGAAAGGGCGCCGCACTTTGTAAAATTTACTCTCTGTTCCCCAGGTAGTATATCAGATCTTCTCCAGCGTGAGTGGGGACGAGGGGCAGAATCCCTCCACTTAAATAAGATAACTCGTTGAGCCGGTGAAGAAGTAAAAGCCAACACCTTCAGTTTTGCTTTCAGCCAATATTATGTACTATAGCCGGCATTGAGGCACAGTGCAGTTTTAAAATAAGGTTGTAAAGGGTAGACATAATACTTTTTGATGTGGGATTGACAGAGAGAAATATATCAACAGTATTGAGTGGAGGTTTATGAGGAAATTGGGACATTAAATGCTGTACATGATGCCTTACCCGTAATCTAATCTGAGTCTGACAACTGAGAAAAGGGAAGTGATGAGACACCGTATTTGTATAGTTTCAGTTGCGTAATACCTGGACTATTTTTATGACTGGACTTTCTTTTTTTTTTTCTTTTTTTTTGAAAGTGATGGAAAAGATGAGTCTAATCTATTGATGCACACATATACACACACTCAGTTTATTAGGTACCACCAAATAAAGACTCTATGTTTACGGCTGGGCAAAATGAATCAGTGTAATGCAACGTCCACAAACTAAATCCTGCCGTCATGAAGGTTATAATGTTGAGTTTCTGTAGAAACTGTTTCCAGAGAGGTGATGATTCAGCTGCATGGTCATTTTAGTGTGTCACACTGACAGGTGTTTCTATTATTTACTCTACCCTCATTGATATAAATGGGTTGGACGTAATATTAGAAACACACTCTCTGTATGATTCAGCATCATTTACCTACAGCTTTAAAAATAACCACACAGTTGAATCAGCGCCTCTGTAAAATGGGTTCAAAGAAAAACTATATAATAACCTTCATGGTAGGATTTATTGCAGGTTTGTTGACTGCATCACTTTCAGATAGTTATACCTAATAATCTAGAGACTGAGTGTGAGTATATCAGATGTAGGTGTGACTTTTCATATAAACTCAGTCAGTATCAGTAAAAGGTTAAAGATGGTGAACATTTAACATCTGGTGCATTCATACAGAAGACTTCTGTTTAGTTTTTTTTAGCACTTTTTCGAAATGAAATTACAGGAACAGATGCTCACTGCCTGTAATAGCACACAAGATCCTTTATCAGGCACTTCCTTGATCATTTCAGCAAACATGCAAGTGAAAACTGCTGTAACGGGACTTTCATATCAGGAGCTGAGGCTTCACACAAACATCAGGCACTGCTGACTTTTACTATCCCCCCGTGTGTATGTCTTTATTTGTTGTTGCGCTGATTGCAGGTTTGGAGCAGCCTTTACCTGCCACACACTGTGGATAAATAAACTAAAACTTCCTTCTGTGGAAAATGCCTCAAATCTAGAGAGAGAAAATGAAAAATAAAACCAATTATTGTGTAATCAAGGTTTGATCAGATGGAGGTTACACAATAACAAAGTTGCAAACATCTTGCATGAAAATCTTTTATTTCTCAAACTTGGGTAGAGTAATACTGCTCGCATGAACAAAACTACAGATTTACTTATCATCCTTTATTTTTAATTGCTGAGGCCTGCTTATGAAATTACATCAAAAGTTGTAATTACGTTTTTAATTTGGTCTCAAGAAATATTAAAATGATATTTGGAGCAATTCTGTACATGTTGTATCTGGATAGAAGATAAACCAAGTAGAGAATCATGTACAGAATATGTTCCTTTAATCCTGTTTGGCTCTTTATCTTTACTTTCCCTGTGCTGCTACTTTTAATGCAGAATTTAATTCATGAACAGAACCAACCTTATTCATGATTAGTTTTATGTCCATGTACATTATGTATGTTTTATGTTAAACATATATTACTGTCTACATACAGTAGCTTCGACTGTCTTTCCTGTTTGAAAACTCTGATGACTGACTTCCTCTTCTGTTTCTCAGGCCTGATGGAGATCCTGCCGGACCGCTGCACCATGATCGCCAAGAAGGAGTTGATCTACGCTGGCACAGTAGGCCTCATTTGCTGGCTGGGCGGCATCGTCTTTATCAACCGCAAGAAGACCAGCGACGCCAAGAGTGTCATGGCTGACGCAGCCAAAACCATGTTGGACGACCAGGTAATCTGCCTCGTGTCTAAATGGGATTCATCAGTGATGATAGTGGAAGCCTTGAAGTCAGAATCAAAATGGTTTACAGTTTGAATTTTATTTCCATTTCCAGAATAAATGTATATTTTTACATGTATTTTCTTATTTATTTACAAATGTCAGTTATTTAATAGACTCACTCAGATTCATTGATCCGCACGTAGAAACCAGACGTGAACATCATTTACATCTTCCAGGATTTAGAACAACTCCCTGTTATTGAAGCAGCTATGGAATAAATACCATCATACTGCAACATGATCCTCCTCTCTCACACGTTTTAAATTCAGGCTCAGAGCTTATGTGGTGATCCAGGCGTCTTGAAATTTCTATCATGTGGCCATTTTTATCCTGGTGTCTTTAGTAGCAATTGTACATGTAGTTATGTAAAATGTTTTTTTTCTTTTCTATGTCATGTAAAAAAAAATAAACTAATATATATTATTTTGTGTTTTCTTAATCAATAAATTGTGATTTTGGATTTAATTTTTATTTCCACTCCATTTCTCTTTCTTGGTGAGATCTCCTTTATAAGCCATTTTGGATTTTTTATTCATCTTAAATATTATATCTTTATATATCTTTTGCCAATAATTAAACTAAAAAATACCTAGTACTTCACAAGCTTTAGTTTTTCAGGGTTCAATATTTATCTTTAATTTGTCACTTAGTTATTTGTGGTTGGTCTGTCACAAGTTTTTGGTTTTGACTCACTGGGGAAGATGCGAGATGAATAACTCTATGTTCTTCTCTCACCCTTGTCCTCTGACCCTCACAGATTCGACTGTGGGTGTTCCCAGAAGGAACGCGGAACCAGAGAGGCGACCTGCTGCCCTTTAAAAAAGGTGCTTTCCACCTGGCAGTGCAGGCACAAGTAAGTGCTTTTTCTCTGATCTCTTTAAATTTCACCTTCTTTTTTTGGGGAGGGGGGGGGGTTCATTTATCCCAAGTATAGCGGGGTTAAGCTGTTCTATCTATATCCCGTCTGAACATGTGAATTAAGTCGATGTTTCATGTGGTGTAACTGTACACCCTCATCCTCTTCATACTTTACCCTACCGGCAGAATGGCTGTGATGATGCTGGCTGTGCTCCAGGAGACTTCTGCCAACGTTTGCCTCCTGAAAGAGTGAGGGGTCATGTTGCCAGCATTGTGCTCCTTCTAGACACACGGGGGAGCTAGCAACCTTATATGGCACAAGGCAACAGTATGATTTCACCATATCCGATATACAAATGCATCAGCCAGACTTGTTTGCAAGGAATGCTTTGAAATTGTCTGAATAGTTTAGTCTGTTTTTTTCAATCTGACAGTTCTGCTCTGAAGTTGTTGTCCGTCCTGTATGAAGCAACTTATTCCCCCAACTCCTCTCACCAGATGATTAGAGGGAGGGCAGATGGAGCTCCCAACACACAGTGACTCCAGAGTAATTGACAGCTGAGCTCCGTGTGTTTATGAGCTTTATCTCTCCGTGCGTGCGTGCAGGAGGTCTCTGTTCTTGAGTCGATGTTTCATAGCGCACACTCGGGGTCAGACGGGTGGAATGAATTAAAAAATGAAAAAAAGAAACCGCAACTTGGTGTGTGTGTGTGTGTGTGTGTGTGTGTGTGTGTGTGTGTGTGTGTGTGTGTGTGTGTAACTGGGTGAAACTGGCTGCTAAAGATTAATATCAGTTTGGTACAGATATGCAAGGCTGAGAGGCTACAAAAATAAAACCCCGCTGCTCCCAATTAGCAAACACATTAATTTTCTATTCGGGGAGGGGGGTCGGGGGGTCCGCTCAATTGGCTCTAAAGTGCAGAACCTGCTTATGTTATACAAATGGTGTTTAGATGTTAAAAGGAGAACGTGATCTGGATTTGTTTAGAGAGAGAGTGTGTGTGTGTGTGTTGGCGTGAGGTGGCAGAGCAACTTCATTTGAGGTGTGTGTTTTGGTTTTTCCCCCGGTGGCTTCGCTTTACACTCGAGACTGTTTCTGTGTGAACAGAAACTATTTCAATCTCTGCGCGTTCGCTTCTGCTGAGTTACTGCGCAGCCTTTCCATTTGTGCTCAGGCCGGCCCGATTGAGTGGAAGCAGGACAGCCCCCAGGGGGAGCCACGTTTGGCTCAGCCAGTCCTGTTGAAGGGCCACTCGGGGGGGGGGGGGGCCTTGAGAGAGCGACTCAGCCTCTATTAGCAGCAGTGGAGGAGATGGAGATTGCTTGTGTCGTGCTGATTTTGTGTGTGTGTGGTTCAGTGAAGCATTCCTGCCTGTTTGTTTCTCGTGTTTCAGCTTGTTTAGGAGAAAGAAGACGTTCAAATGTAAAGTTTACAAGTCAGATTTTAATTTAAATATTTATTCTAACATGGCAAATAAGAGGTGATAATATTTTGGGGAAAGTGTGTGAATCCTCTTTTCATTCTTGTTTTCCAGGCACCCATCATACCCGTCGTTTTCTCCTCCTACAGCAACTTCTACCTACGAAAAGAAAAGCAGTTCAAATCAGGTAACTCAGCTCGGCTTCTTCCCCATTGTCCTTTTCTTTTTCTTTTTTCTTTCTTAAAGTTTTGTATTACTTATCAACATCTGTATGCAAAGAGCTGCTCGATGTTCTGTGAGACCTCTGACAATAAAGTTTTGCGCCTCCGCAGGGACCATCAGATTGAACATCCTTCCAAAGATCGAGACAAAGGGGATGACGTCAGACGATGTGTCATCCCTCTCCGACAAATCCTTCAACCTGATGCGCTCGGCCTTCCTGGACATCTCTGACTCCGTAACCCAGAGCAACGGGCCCTTGAGGCACTGAACATTTACCATACTCCCGCCTCTCTTTCTCCTATGTCCCTGTCTGAGACCCATTCCTCCCCCAGACCTCCCCACTCCCCCCAGGTTGTCCCATTACTTGGCCAGGAAACAACATGACACCGGTCTCTTGTCATGAAATCTCTTCTTGTCTAGTTGACGCCTGGTCCAGTCCGCCTCTGGCCTGACCATACAGCACAGTCAGTCCCGACCCTCACTGTGTCTGCAGCAGCACCGGCAGCAGCGCTGCTCTGCACGCCGTGAGCGGAGTGACGGACGGCAAGCCGAACAGTATGGATGTGTGTCGTTCTTCATGCATGCCTTTTGGATGGCTCTGTCCACCTTCAACCTTGCTTTTAGAGAGAGATTTTGTTATTGTCTGACTTTATCACCATTTTATACTTTTTTTTTTTTTCTTTTTTTTTTTTTTTTTTTTTTTTTTTTCTTTTTTTCTTTCTTTTTTTTCCTCCTTTCCGCTTTCTGTTCAGCAGATAAACCTTGGCATTTTCTCTTTTCTGTTCATAAATGTCAGTGGGTATTTGTGGTTCTCTCATGCTGCCTTTGTTTTAGTTATCTTTGGACACTCATATATATACACACACACACACACACCACACTTTCAAAGAACCATCTCCTTCCTTCCTTTCCTTTTTAGTGCGTTCTCCCCCTTTCTGCATTCCAGTCTCTTGCCTAAAGACAAAAGGAGCGGGGTCTCCACGAGGGGTGGAGAGCGTACGCGGAGGTGAGAGGTCGACGCCGGTTGACCGTGGACTTCTTTTAGTTCTGTCGCAGTGAATTTAACTCTGTATCCATATTGGCTCTTCAGCTCTTATGACCAATAGTTCATCGGCATACTTCATGATGTCAGAAAGCAAAGGAATTCAAGGTTACAAGATGCAGTGTAAAACAATAGCACCCATCTGTACTGGATTAATGGACTTCAGTGGACTGATCAGTTTTCAGTGTTGTGCATTGTTGGTGTACCATTGTGCTTTCTTTCAGTCGGTCTCTCCAAAAATTTTAAAATCAACCTGCGTGCAGCATTGAGCAGCAAGTGTCTTCTGCCTGTATTCTGTATTTTTGCTATTTATTTCCACGTTGAATAATCTTGTTTTTTCTTTTCTCGTTTGTTTGTTTTTAAAGTGATCACACGTTTTTTTGCTCCTCAGAAGGAACTCACAAGTGAACCTATTTAAGATGTGTCAAAAAAGGTGATTTCATAAAGTGCAATGTCCAACTGTTTTAACATTACTGTTCCAAAGTGCAAGCCACCTGCTGTGCCATGACTGAGTATTTTTCAGGAAGTTTCCGATGAGAGCCCATTTACTTGACTCACTATGACCTGTTTAACCAGTCGTCTGCTGACTGATTGCCCTTTTACCAATAATATAATTTACCTCTACCAATGATGTAAGGCGGTTCTTGCTGTAAGGAAGAGAATCAATGGGATTACTTAGATCTCAAGAACTGTTTGACTGAGTCTGATTTATATTTGTTCTGAAGAACTTCGAAGATTAACTAATTACTAACGATCTCTACGTGCATCTCAGAAAAGTTTAATTACTTCAAATGTATTTTGTTAATTGGAAATGTGCAGGCGTGTCCCCGTTTTGTATTAATTAATATAAAAATGACATAAAAGTGAATGACATTGTTTTTAATTGTGATTTAATTGTTAACTAGACTTAACCTCATAGACAATATTTAGATGATAATTTAAAAAAAAAAGAGTTGTGGAAATTTTGGCCTTAAGTTTGATTGGTTGTTGTTGTTGTTGCACTTTGGATTGTTCTGCTTGTTTGCTTACGATCAGGTTTTGTTCTGTAATTTTTACTGATGTTGACTTCTAACCAGATAGAACTGACTGAACTGTTTTTAGTTTACATCCAGGTCTTAAATTTCACATTACTCACTGCCTTTTACACTGTTTGCAAAATCAACTTATTTTTGCCGCTTTTGCCCATCAAACACCATCTGAGAATGTATTTCAGCATTCAGGATATTTATGTACTACTAACTGCATCTTAATGTTTTATTTTATTCTTTTATTTTGAAGTTATTATTTTAAAGCGGGTTGCTGTCCTGCATACAGTTGGCATCAAATCTATGAAATGTATTTATTTGAACATTAGACTGACTTGTTGTGCACACAGACCTGCATCATGATGTGAATGGATTTATCAGTACGTTGGTACTCGGCCTGTACACTGCTGTTCATGTTTGAGCGCATCAGTAGTTTTACTGATACCTGCTGGGCTCTCTGCTTTAAGTACATGACAGTCAGGGTTTCAGTTATGTTCACGGCCAGTGTGGAATATTTGCCCCTACTTACAATAATTGATCAAATTCTACATTTTTTTTTTCTTAGTTTGAATATAGTATTTATTGACTTTTTTCTTAACTGTAAGAGCAGATTTAACCTTTGCAGAAAGTGGTTTGAATGTTAAAAAAAATACTTTACCAAATTGGTTTCTTCCAAAAATATGAACTATACCATATACATTTTGCTAATGGAGTGTTTTATCCATTGATTTCCTGTTTGTTTCTTGGTTAGTTTGTAACAGAAAATGTGTGATTTGTAAGCTTTGTGTCATGAGCTTGAACCAGTGGCTAACAGGCTCTGCAATAACTCCTGCTGGTTGACTTTTTTTTTTTTTTCTTTTTTCTTTTCTTTTCTTTTCTTTTTTTGGGCAGTCGTTTACAAACTATTATGTAAAATATTGGAAAAGATTCAAAAGTATTCTGAACCTTAATAAAGCACCTTTCATGCTGAGTTTGGGTGGAAAAAAATAAAAAGGACTTCAAGTTTTCTCTGATTTTCACCAAAGCTATTAAAGTGTAATTGGTGGTAGCTGACAGGGCTGACATCCTGCAGAGCCTTCTATGTGTGTGGCCCCCTATTGTACTATATGTGTGTGTGTGTGTGTGTGTGTATATATGCACACATGGTAGACGCCCATTATAGTATCGGGTTTAATATTGATGATGTAGTGTTCTTGAGTTCACCTACTCTGGGTAGACATGAATGCCTTGCAAAAGAATAAATACAAATTCATTCTTTTTTTTCTTTTTTAAAGTTTTTGTGAATTGAAATGCCTGCTTTGCTTTCCACTGTCATTTATATTAAAATCAGTGACGGAAAGTAAATTCACAAGTACAATTAATAGATGGATAGAGAGCATTTTCATTTTTTACTGCTTCTTACTTGTAGGTAATAATGAGGTAAATTAACCTGTTCTATAGTTTTATGAAATGATAGTTTCATTTTTTGTGATTTTTTTTTTCAGCAATCTCTTTTATCTTCTTTAAATTTGATTTTCAAAACTTTTTTTTACTTATTTTAAAAAAACAATGAAAATCATAAAACCCTTTTTTTTAAAAAAAAACAAACAAACAAAAACTTTGATCAGGTAACATTAAATAAAAACTGTTCACGTGTTAATACATGGGTGATTAAAAATTCAAGTTATCTATGAAAGGAGCTATTTGTATGTTTTGCTACATAGCCATTGTTAGCATCAACAGCTGCTTCAGCCATCCTTGCGTTAACAATATAAGAAGTGCTACTTCTTCAGGGCACACTGGGCGCTACAGTGACTCGGTATTGGAAAGTGACGAGACAGTCCGACCGGGCTGGGGCTAGCTGGTTAGCATGCTAACTTCAGTAGAAGAAAAGGTGCGATAGAAACAGTTTTTAGTAAAGGAATGAAGTTTGATGCTGAACTCGCAACGTTTCTTCTAGACTGGTAAGTAAACAGCTGTTAATGCTAACGTTAGCTACATAGCAATAGCGAAACTTACAAATATCTCCTTTAAAATGCTATGAAATGGGCTGTTCTGCATGATGAAGACTTTTTATACTTTACATTTAGCTGGTAATACTTGTGTCCTTTGAATGCAGTACTTGGGAGTATTCTCACACTTCAGTGTTGATACTTTTACATAAGTAAAAGATCTGAATACTCCATCCTCTGCTGATTGGAGTTTATGTATAGGAGAGGTCAGACGGAGACATCCAGTGTTGTCTTAGCTTAATGGAGAGTTTGTCTAATCTTACATCAGCAGTGTGGACATGACTGTGTATTTGCAAACCTTATTCAGTGATCCTCTCATTTTATTGAGCACAACACATGTTTTGATTAAGGCTTTTTATTACAAAATGTTACAAAACTAGGTAAAAAAATGTCTACAGGAACGCTGAGAAATAACTACAAAGTAATCATAATTTAAATAGATAAATACAGATGTCCACGTCTGGGGCTCAGACAGAGGACACAGCTGCACTGATTCAAAAACAAACACAGAAACAAAGTGGCCAGTTTAACCTTTGACCCTCAGGGGGTTTGATTTAGATGTTACAGGGATGACGTAAAGGTGACACAGACCCTGTTACAGGTACTTTTACAAAATCACAAATTTGACAATGATTGAACAGGAAAAGTAAATGAACCTGTTGGGGGAAAAAAATCACAGATGATTTGTGCCACGATTGTGTCCCTGCATAACAAGGACTGAGGTTGTTTCTGCCATTCGCTTCTTACACACTTCTTCTTCTGCTGCGTACAATACTCTTGACACGTTTGTGTCACTGTTAACTTGATGGTTGCCGATGTTCGGTGGTTAATTCTCCTGGCAAGAACCTACAGGGAGGAAGAGAAGAAAGATATCTCAATGTACTGACCACGACTTTTTGAATTAAACTCCTTAATTACTGGTAGCGACTGTAAAATTAAAAGTGAACCCACTGTAATCTGCGACCCCACTTTAATCCGAACTGAGAGGAATTTGGTTGTTGGCCTCAGATTTTCACAGTTGGAGCTTCATGATCCCAGAATGCAATAATTGAACATAATGTAATAAAACCAAATGTGATAAAGCTCCTAATGTCATAAAAACTATAATAAGAAGCTGCTGTGAGTTTATTAAAGTTTAGGTCAGGGATCCACGCGGGGGGAACGTCTGATACGCAGATGGGATTTTCCACCACATTCTCCCGACCGCCACGTTTCCCTGGCGACGCCTCCTGACGACCACGTCTGTTCCTCTAGCGCCGCCATGAGGTCGATATTTGTGATGTTGAGTCACTGACATTCATGGTCCTTTTCAGGATGTACTGCTATAACATGATGATTCTTCTGATTTTCAATATTGTCAAATATTTTTGGTTTATGACCAAATACCTGTGAAACAATCTTTAATGTTCTAATTAGGTTCAAATTTGATTTCACTTATAGTTTGATTGACTTTGATTGTACCATTTAACTTATTTAGTCACTGCCAAGACAGTTATTACATTACAGACACAAGATTTTATTATGTTATTGGATTTTTTGTTAACATGGACTTTAATACATTTGATTTTATTCAATTATGGGACAACTGTTGCATTTGGGCTTTTACATGGTCTCTGATCTTCTTGAAGAAGTTGAAGTCTGACTTTCCTGGGACACAAAGTTTCACTGGTGTTCAACTAAATATTGATTTTCCCTCCTCTTAAGTGCTACGTTCTCAGCTATTAGCAATCAAAAGGTGAGCCCGCGGTAACTCACATGTGCCGAGGCGCTCCTCCAGAAAGCCAATCTGCTCGCTGAGGGAGTCGATGCGGTCCAGTTGCTGGAAGGAGTGGGACAGTAAGGTGGTCTTCTCCGACAGGCCTTCGTCCAGCGACAGCGGGAAGAAGCTGCTGAACGGGGTCAGGACCAACTGCAACTTCTGCACGGGGAGAGGAAAGGGACTATTACTCACCTCGTAAACAAAAAATAATTATAATCCCCAACTAATCTTCATGTTTGTTTCACTAAACACAGGCTGTTTTTATTTATTTTTTTAAAACCCCGTAAAGCATTTTTAAAAAAAGCAGGTCTGGCATTTCAAAGAATCGTTGGTTTTTACATCAGACCAGTGAAAAATGGAGCAGAGGTGTTCATGGTGAGCGAGGCTGGGAGGTATCAGGGTAGGTGGCTTTTATATGTGTGTGTGTGTGTGTGTGTGCGTTTGAACATGTGTTCATGTGTTTTCTCCTGTACCTTCTCCAGGAGCTCCACTCTGTTCCTCAGGCTCTGTACCTCCTCCGTCACGTTCTCCGCCAGGCTGAAGCTTCCACCTGTACAAACCATACAGACACATATACAGAGGATGGTGAGTGTATAGATCTAAAAAGGCGAGACTGATGTATGTTTAATCTTGTTTTTATCTTAAAAGGTTTCCTTGGAGGCATCCTGTTCTCATCAGTCCCTCTCCTCGAGTGATTCATGGCCCTAAACTAGAAACCAGGAAGAGGTTCGCAGAGCTGCAGGGAGGCCGGGGGAATTTTTGGGCACAGAGGGGGGAAATCATGGATATGGGAACGGCCCGAAAAAGCTGAGACACAAACTGAAAGAGAGGTCGCTAGAAATAGAAATAGACTCATTCATTCCTCCTGTGAACCTGCATCGGTTACAGGGAAGTGTCTGCCTGTCTGCGTCCACCCGAGGGGAGCGTCCCCGGGGACAAACGGGACCAAGATCGGGGATGCAGAATTAGGAACCTCTCTTCTCTCTGGCTGCGCTCCGGCACACAGTTCGAGAGCGACTCAATCTCTCCCAGATGTGGTCCATTACTGATACAAGAATGAGTTGAGAAACAGGGTGAAGAGGAGGAAGAAGAGGAGGAGGAGGGGGAGGAAAAGGGGGGGGGGGGCTGGGGATGACCCCCAGCAGACAGGGTTGATGGAGCTGGAATGAGAACACAAGTGTTGGCCAAGTGTGGAGTGAAAAGAAGGAGACGTCGTCGTGGGGGGAAGAAAAAGGAAAAGAAAGGAAGATGGAGACAGATGAAGTCCAACACTCCTCCGCAGCAGCTTGGCAAGGGTCAGCGCCATGGTCTACTTTATAAGCATTTAAACCCGTGTTTATATTTGTGATCTCCTTCGACATCCCTCTGACATGTGTGCATGGACAGATAAAAGAACACAGCCTCAAGTAAAACATCTCTGCTGGCCTCGCATTTTGGCAACCGAGCGGTGAAACTGAGCAACACACTCCCACAAATAACTCTCCATGGTTTCACCAAGTCCTTTTTTCTTTTTCTTTTTCTTTTTTTAAAACCGAGTGGGTTTTTTTTTTTCTCTTTCTATCCCTCTTTCTTCATGTGTTTTTCTGGCTTTTTGATGACTCAGCAATACACTCGCAGGACTCTCATCAATCCATATCATGTAGAGTCACGGGGGTGAACGGTCTCATTTCAGCTGAGGAGTTTCATTCTGTGTGATTTTAGTCTTTTTTTTTTTTTTTTAACACTGATAAATATGAGGAAGTTTGGAGCAGTGCCTGAGAAATTTGGCAGTCTCACATTAATATAGAGATTTGTTTCTTTGACAACACATGAGACAGTGCTCCCTTTAGATTTACAGTGACTCACAAAAAAAATCCCCAAAGGTGGAAAAATTTGAAATAAGGGGGAGATTTCTTTAAGGTTTCATGTTGCGTAAATTCCCAAAAGAGCGATAACACTGACACAGATTAAAAAGGAATATCCTGGGGTCAACTACCACATTTGCAGACATGGAGATGGAGGGGGGGGGGGGTATTATTATTTGTTGCTAAGATACAGGAAGCACACACAAATGAAAATCCACTTTTTCATGGTGAGAGAAAACATTGCAACATTTTTAAGGAAACTAATGGAGTGTGCGGGATTAAAAAAAAAAAGGTCTGTATTAGCATGGGACCTCTATTAGAGGCAGATGTTTGCTTTACTCGCAGGACTCTCAGGAGTCAACTGAGTCATTATCAAAGTCCAACTGGTCCCAGTCTCACTGCACGGGGCCCAGACCACAACACATCCGTCTGGAGTCGGCACCAGTCGCAGTGCATTATTACTCACGGTACGAGTTGAGAGTGGCATAGCGCGTACCAAAAGTAATAATGGACCGCGAAGCTGGCTATGTTCCTTCCTTCTGCGCTCCAGACACTTTGCTGCTGCAAGACAGAAAATTATACTGTTTGAACGCACGCACACGCCTCTGTGCTGCTCATTTACCCGCGTCAGGGTGACCACCCACTGTTGCCTGGCTGGGCTGGGTGGGAGTGGGAGAGGTGGTACGAAGAGGAGGAGGAGGAGGAGGAGGAAGGCTTTGACAAGAACGGCCGTCTCCGGCGAGCCTGAAGCCGTCCCTGCACGCGCATCGATAGCTGCCAGCTGTGTTGACGCACCCCTGGGCGCACGGCCGCTGCTCGCTGCACTCATCCACATCTGACAGACAGGAGAGACGGGGAAGAGGGTTTATGTGTGAATATAGAGACAGAGCTCATGTGTGGTCGTGCAGGTAAATGTGTGTGTGTGTGTGTGTGTGTGTGTGTGTGTGTTTGTTTACCTGTTTGGCACTGGTGGCCCGTCCAGCCTATCGGACAAGCACACTGGTTGGGTCTTAAGCAGGTGCCTCCATTCACACAGGCTTGTCCACACACAGCTGTAAGACACGTTTAAAGGGAAAGTTCAGGTGGTTGAAAATATTCTTATTTGGATTTATGCTGAAAGATGATTGGATCGATACCAGTCCTTAAAATATGAAGCTACAACCAGCATGACAACCAGACTGGAGGCTTCCAGTCTTTGTGCTAAGCTACGCTGGTTGTAGCTTCAGCTCTGTTTAACCGCACAAAATCTGCCTATCAGCACCTCTAACGTTTATTTTCTTTAATCTGTACAAAGTTGTGTTATTACAGGGCGTTATGTGCTGAAATATTTCTTGGCTAGGAGCAGTGACTTCCTGGAGTTTTCGCCGGCTGCCTGGTTGTGTCTGGCTACGAAATAGTCCAGCTCATAGCCACCAATCAAACCACAGCTTGTCTTATTTTAACATTTTTTAAAAGAATCTTTCTTGCTTTCACCTTTAAATAGAGCTCGGCTAACTGTTTCCCTCTGCTTCCACTCTTTATGCTAAGCTAAGATATTAGCCTCCTATTCCTCCACTATACAGGTGCAGGTCATACAGGAGCAACATGGAGGGACCAGTTTACCTTGGTTGCAGTTGTGAGAGTGGAATCTCCGCCAGCCCGGGCAACAGTCCGGGTAGAAACGTGAAGGAGACGCCACTCTGCTCACCTGCCGGTACGCCACCGAGTACACAGTTCTGTGTGAGACAAAAAACACAAGACAACCCACAGCAGTTAGGGATTTGTGGTTATTCATGCTGTCATCGCCTTCATGTGTGCGGTCTGCGCCGCGTTCTGCCAGACTGCAAGAACGCTGATGAGAGAATGGGAATTTTGGTGGAATATTGAAACCACGGACCACTGACTTTCAAGTGTGTGTCAGGGATGAGATGGGGAAGGAGGAGGGAGAGAGGGAGAGAGGGAGGGAGGGAGGGAGCAAGGGGAAGGAGAAGAGATGCAAAGTCAGATTTAAAATTTGAGATTTTTCTGCAGCCTGCTGAGACTCTGGTATGTTTAGTTTGCGAGGAGAGATGCTGGGTGATAAACTGAGGCAAAAGCTAAAAGCAAAGTGAACATGACCAGAGATGTGTTTGCTGAAAACAAAAGGAACAAATAATTTCATCTAAGCGAGGAGAGCCACCATGGGATTTAGGGGCCTGTAATTGCCCTAAGACCTGCCCACATAATGAGCCAAAAAAAGAAAGAAAGAAGTGAAACTGAACTTTAGTGGTGAGGGAAGAGTTAAAAAAAAAAGAAAAGGATTAAAATTGAGGGAATGTTAAGGGGGAACTAGAAAGCATCAGAGCTGCAGAGAGGGATCGAGAGCGCCTAAGTATGAAGGGAGACGCGGTCCAAAATAAACACAACCGCAGTCTCTGCAGGCAGGCAGTTCATTTCCCGTAGTTACACAAAGTGCTCGATATTTAGATTCCACACAAATATGTGCCACCATGACCCAGTTCTGTGCAGAATGCACATCTATGTGTGTGTGTGTGTGTGTGTGTATGTGTGTGTGGGAGAAAGTCTAGGTCTATTTATGACTACACCCCGAACCCTCTCCCTTCCTAAACATGTCAAGCATTGTTTACCCCTTAATTAAATAAACATCTTATCAAGGCTTAATTAGAACACTGTTTTGACACTGTTTTGACTGGAGTCCTCGTGTACAGTAAATGCTCGACTGTGTGGTTCAGCTCGACCGACAAAAGCGCAAAATAAATTAAAAAATAAATAAAAAAGTCAATTTTTGTTGTTAATTTTGTTGAGGAGTGTGTTGTTGCGTGCTCGTTTGTATGAAGAGAGCGTGTCTTACTTGTAAGTGCTACAGAGGCGATGCCCCTGACACAGGGTGATGTAAGGCTTGTGCACCGGCTGGACGTAGGACTCCGTTGCCGTGACAACGTTGTGACGGAGGTCTCGGCCACACACCCTCCTCCTGCCAAAAATGGATGAGACATGAGATCAAATATTAAAACTGACCTGAAATACAGACTTTTCGAGGCTGCAAATAGCATCTGCGCCCGCAGCCGAGCTGGTTTTAGATGATTCTAGTTTTCCAGAGAGATATTTAGGCCCTGGAAGTTTCTTCCATCTGATTCAGAAAGCCTGAGCAAGTCCAGATTAAAGCCTCAAGGTTTCTGTTTGTCACCAAAGATACTGGCATGCAGCCTAACTACTCCTGACTAACCCATGTAATCACTCCCGAATGTGTCAAAGTTAAGAGTTGATCTTTGACCTCTTTGGCTCCACTTGACCTTTCGTTTGGCTGTCAGTTTATTTTTGGTCTTTGTGCAAATCAACTGAAAGTGACAACATGAGCCGCGCAGACTCCCCCACGTTCGTGTGTGCGTCTAATAGTCTCGGACAGAGGCATAGAGCTGTGGTCCTGAGAGAGTGCACTCTTTAAAACGTTTAAATGTCATTTGACCAATCTGTATACATTCGCAGTGGGTGAGAACGTCGAGAGGACGCTAAAGCAAACAGGTCTGAATGACGGCTGAAGTGGAGATCCACAGCTGAGGGACCTCACGTACCGGAAGAATGACAGGCCATAATAAACACAGGAAGGGGTATTAAGTGAGCCGTTACCCGTGGTGAGCGAAGAACTGGGGAGTGCCCATCACATGAAGGATGAAGAGGGAGGAGGAGAGCAGCAGCGTTTGGTACATTGTCTTCCTCTTTCCCACGTTTCCCTCGCTCGGTCTCTCACACTCTTCTCTGTGCCAGGCGGAGGGAAGAGGAGAGGAGGATGAAAGGGAGGGCGGGCG